ACTGCGCTACCAGGGAAGCCGTGCTCATTAACTTTAAATTGCTCCACAGTACCTATGGTGGTTAAGCGTCCAGGTCCTAGAATCCGATAGACATGGATCCAAATCCAAGGCTCTACTTCTTACTAGCTATGTGCCCACGGGAAAGTTACTCTTTTAAGCCTTTTTCCTCCACTATAGAATGGACATAATGACATAATTGGCTATTGAGTGCTTAGCATAATCGTCTTACTCTGGCACAAAGTAATCACTCAATAAATATTAATTATTACCTTTGTGTCCTAATTCTCCTGCCATTTTATTCTTCTCTACCTTGAAGAATTCACCATCTCAAACAGCTTTGACTAATAATGCAATTAAGTATATTCCTGAAGTTACTATGGCAGGATTAAACCTTTCATCCTCTTCATCAGTAATAAAGAAAATCATTATTTCTAGATTTCACCAATATCTAAGAAATAACCTGCTGAAAACTGATTTCATTTTCATACTCTTTCTTAAAGTACTCATTTCCCTTGGCCTCTGCAATACCATACTTTAAGATTTTTCTTCTCTGGCCATCTCTTCTCAGACTCTACTGCCAGCTCATCCTCCTGTAACCAGCCTCTAAATGTTAGTGTTCTTAAGGGAAAGCCTAATGGTTTTCTTCATTTCTCATACTGCCGTCTCTCCCTTGGCAATCTCATGCTTCAGCATGGTTACAACTGCAATCTATAAAGAAGTAAATGACTTCCACATTATCTCTAGTGCAGACTTCTCCAAGTTCCAGATCCCCTATATCCAACTGCCTACTGACATCACCATGCTATGACAAAGCAACTTAAACTCCATAGATACAAAACTGGATTCATGGTCTTCGTGGGTTCATGATTCCATGATCAACCAAACCTAGTTCTTCTCCAGTATTTTTTTTTAGTGAATGAATGGCATCACCATCCATCCAAGCTGCATAAGGCAAAATTCTAGAAATCTAGAAGTTACCCTTTATAACTCCTCTTCCTCCCCTTCCAAATTTATTCCAATTTCCATTAAGTGGATATTGCTGCATGAATTTCAACCTATTTTTTACACTAATACAAAAATAATCTCCCTTGCTGACTTCATTCCTCCACTACCCATTTTATCACTATCATGCCAAGGTCTCTATCAACTGAAACTTCCCCACCTTGCCTGTTCATCCCTCCCTAACATCTCAACAAATTTCTTATTTCTTCTAAATATTCTACCTACTCAAGCCACAAAAAAAATCTACTTTACAATATCTGCATATGATTTATTCTTTCCCATTCCTCTTCCCTATCCAAGTCATGTCTTTTTCTCTCTCAAAACTCTTCTTAGAATCCTTCCTTCGTTCATTCAACCCAATATCACTCCTTACTAGGAAAATAAATAAAGTTACAGATTCAGGGTCACAGTTTATTCAGCCCAATAATCTGTCTTTGACAGAGACACCAACAGAACACATATAGTTTTCCTCCCATAGTCCTCAAAATCAGTTATTACCCAAATATACTAATTATTTCCTCTATATTAAGCACTGCATCTTTCAACATACACATATTTTATGTCTTTTATGAAGAGGTGTGTATTTTCAGCCTTTTCTACTTCACAAGGTTATAAACTTCACAAGTTTAACATCAACCATAGAAAACTGACTTTCCTTTATTTGTTCTGAATTTCCTCTCAAGCACCTCAAGGTAGTCCTCCTATTCTAGCATTTTCTAACTTGGTGAACAAGCTGGTAGTTTTTTCACCCATATCACTTGTGATTTTAAAGGAACACAAAAATAAATACAGCATGGATCACACCCTTACACTCTGCTTACACGGCATGATCCAGCTGTGTTCATATCTGTATTCCTGTTTCCGTAATCATGTCTCATGAAGAGAAGGTGCTCTACACATGTTCAACAAAATTAAAGGAATTCTGCTTAGGCCTGATGTTGTGTTCAAGAATGCCAAAAGAAGTAGAACCTCTCAAATACGTTAACTCTGCTTCTGTTCAATAAAAATAATATTTGGGCTTAAAAAAGGTAGAAAGGATTGGTGCCTAGTATAGGTGAGGACACTGTAACAGAGCACCTTGCTGCTCTTAACGAACTGAAGCTGCTCTTCGATGTGATCACCGAACCACTGCCAGTGGAGGAAGCACAGAGACCCAAAGGACTGCCAAAGACTAGAAAAGAGGAAATAAATGTTGGCCTGATTAAAAAAAAAAAAAAAATAGAAAGAATTGACAACAGTCCAGTATACTCAATGCCCATCCTTTTCTAAATTCAGATTATTTTAAAAATAGCTTCTAATCACTTAGAAAAGAAAATGTTAAGCATTTGTGGAACCAACCTGTGTTATACCAGACTAATTAATTTCCTTTCTTTTTTTTTTTTACGAGAGTATCTTTATAGATAGACAGACATCACACATCAAAAAGATGTAAAAGTAGTATGTTGGTAGAATTTCAACAAAGTATTTGACCAGGTTCTCATTACACCCATATGGATAAGACAAACAGAAGATGGATAACGGTACAATTAGGTAGTGAGGTAACTGTTTAACGACCATAACAACAAGTGCTCATTAATGAATTGTTATCAACCTGAAGGGCAGTTCAGGACTTTCATCTGTGGCCTTTCCCTGTTCAACAATTTTACCAATAAGAGGAAAATATATCTAAGGGATCAGTGAGTACCCATATCCAAATACATATATATAACTGTGAGACAGGCAAGCGCTGTAACTTATGCCACAAATGTAAAACAAACACACAAACAAAAAAGAGGCTTAATGGCTTAGTTCACATCAAGCTTAGTTCAAGCTGACAGCAACAAGCTCAATATGATGTGGAAACAAGAAAAACTAATGTGATGCTAGCTGCAGCAGTAGTATCTCAAACATGGGTGACAGAAGTCCTGCTTAACTCTGGACAGATCAGACCACAACTGGGATATGCTGTACCCTTCTATGGGTCACTGTCTTCAAAGGATCATAACCATACTGGCACATGTTCAGAACAGAAAATCCAGGATGCTTAGGGGCCTGAATACCATTAAAGGAAAGGCAGGAGGGAATGGAGATTTATAAATAGAACAAAGCAATGCCTTGAGAGGAAAACAATGGCTACCTTCATTCAGTCATTCAACAAACGTGAATTTCAAACCTATTTCTGGCCAGACATTGTGGCTGTGACTGGGGATACAGGAAAAAGACAGCCTATATCTGTGAGAAATTCATGTGTATATCTGAAGAGTTGAAACAGATTTGATCTAAAAAAGCTTTACATTGTTCTATATGATTTCATAAGGTAGAAATAGGAGCAATGGAAAGAAGTTCTAACATAATTGATTTCAGCTCCATATAAGGAAGAGCATTTTAAGAGTCAAAGCTGTCTAATGAAGGAAGAGGCTGCCTGAGTAGACTACAAGGTTCCCATCAGTAATGGTGTACTTAAAGAGGAGACTGCTGAAATAAGACAGGCACTGAACTGGGCCATTTTTAATGTTCCTCACCTTCTACACTATGATTCTTTCTGTACTTCCTCAGGAAATGGACTCACCAGATTCACCCTACTTGTGTACTACAGCATCACAGGTTTCCCACAGTTGTGACTTCCAACTTTGTACCCTGTCCCCCACTGAAGCAATGCCATATAATTAGGTATGGATCTGAGAGCAACAGGAATAATGCAATATAGGAAGAAACTGACCCATCAGCACAGAGAATGCAAAAAAAAAATCAGTACTGTTCAACGTGCCTTATATTTGTAAAGAAAATGTAAGAAATCTCTATCCTCGAAGTCATAAATTCAATTTAAAATATTATGGAAAAAAAACTTTTTAACAAGTCTATAGAGTAAAGCAAATGTGGCAAAATGTTAACAGTCGTTAACCTAGGTGTATAACACTACAGTGATCCTCTTTGAGTGTTGTGTATGTTTGAAATTTTTCAAAATAAAAAGTCTGAAAAAAATTTTTAGAAATATATTATGTTCAATTAATATAAATAAGGATCTGCTATGTACTGCATCTCTTGTTGGGAGCCATTTTTTTCTAACCAATAAGGAAAAAATAATTTTAATTTAAGATCACTTTGAGAATTTGTGTCCTAAATAAGCACTCCAAACCCCTCTATTATAACGTTATGTGGAAACTAAGTTTAGAATATATTTCTAAAAAGAAATAATTCACCAGATATAGTAGGCCAAATACCATGAACTAATCAAATTATGAAATTGATTAAATGGCTACTTAAATCCATTTTAAAAATCACAGGCGGGATAAACGTAGAGAAAGGTCTAGACCATTTACTTCTATAAACTGGTTTAAAATTACTGAAGCTTATTTTCATTCATTTTATTTTTGTAATTTTAAAACACTCTCTAGAATACACTGGTTCTATATGCTGGAACTGGGTATTCAAACAGTTCACCCGTCCAAACTGTTAATATTAACTTCTTGGAAGCAGTCTCACACTTCAGCACTTTCTCAGTCTGGATACAAGAAATGGGCTACGACTGGAATTCCAAGGGCTCCCTTTCTTTTAAATAGCAGCCTGTTAAGACAAAAGTGATAAAAAGAGGGGAGCATCTTTTAACCACCAGCCCTGAAAAAAGGCTTTCCCTTCGGTTGTCGTCAACTCTGACTGCTGTCTACCCTTTTTCAACACACTGCCTGGTCGTTTCGGTTGAAAAACAAAATGAAAAAAAAAAATTTTTTTTAATATATGTATGTCCCATTTTCCTGGGGCAGGCAGATCCCCTTTTGTATAAGTGGCTAAAGCTAGGCTCCCCACGGATTTCATCTCGTTGCCAAGGCAGCGCCGACCCGACTGGTCCGGCACGAGGGCAGTTCCCACCGCCCGGAGCCCAGGGCGGCCCCGGCCTGCGGCAGAGCAGCCCCGGCGCAGCCCGGAGCCCCCCAGGCCGCAGAGTCCCTGCCGCGACCCCGGACGGCCCGGCGGGCGCCCCGGGACCGCGGCGAAAGGCGGGGACATGAGGCTCGACTTACAGTGACACCATCCGAGGTGACAGCACCAGTGCAGCTTGAAGCACTTGCCGTGGCTGTGCGTGGCACAGATTGAGAGCCCGTCGCACGGCTGGAAGTCGGGTCTGCGGGCGGCGCAACTCCGCGCCAGGGCCTGAGCCTCGTCCACTTTCTCGCTCTTCCAACCGCGCTCGGGCGCCGGCGCCGCGGCCGCACTCATTTCCTCTCCCTCCGCGGAGCCGAGATCCGGAGCTCGGGAGGAGCGGCGTCTGGGCGGGCAGGAAGCCGAGCCGGCTGAGGACGCGGGAGGGCGGGGCGCGAGCTGGGAGTCAGGCGAGCGCTTGGAGGTGGCGGTGGCGGCGGCGGGAGCGCAGCAGCCCCAGGTTAGCACAGGAGCCGCCCCGGGTGCGACCGGGGTCTGGGCCTGCCGCCGCCTCCCCTCCCTCCGCCGTGGCGCGCGCCGCGCCCCCACGCGCACACGCACGCGCACACGCACGCGCCGACCCCGGCAGACGCCACGAGTCCCTCCGCCAACCCCGCCTCCTCACACACGCCGGGCTTGGGTGCTGGGTCGTTGGCGTCCCCCGGAGCCGCCGCACACTCAGTCCTCAGAGGCTGAGCCCGACCGACGGAGGGCCGTTAGGAACACACCCGCCTCAGCGGCTCGGTTTTCACACGCAGGCCAGCTTCCACGAACACTTCCCACACTCAGTCCCCATACACACTCCCCTTCGACATACACGTCCACAATCCGCAGAGGGCTGTGCACGCTGAGGACACGCCCTCCCAGACGTCCAGTGGGCTGGTCCCTGCGCAACTGGGAGCAAGGCTTTCTCACACGCACAGCCTCTCCCCACGCGCACCCCACGTTGCCCTCGTACACACCCCCCAGAGGGTCTGGGCACCCAAGACCCTGGGGGCGCGTGCACATACGCACGCAACAGACGCGCGCTCCCCCGGGGCTGCCTCCTGCTGCCAGCAGGGCCACTGGGGCGCACGTCCCGGCCACGCACGGCCACCAGCCCCTCGCGGCCCCTGATAACCACGGCTCGCCCAGGTCTCAGCCCGAGGCTGCAGCCCCGCCTTGCTGAGGGGGAAAGTAACCAAGCTGGGTGCCGTGGTGTGTGTGTGTGTGTGTGTGTGTAAAAGAGATGCACGGGAAGTGCGATGCACGGGACTGGTATGTGGAATGTGTTGCGTGTGTGTATTTTGGGGTGTATGTGATGTGTGGGCGTGTATGCTTGTTATGTGGAGTATGTGTGTGTGTGTGTGTAATTGGATGTGTTGTTAAGTGAGTACATGGTACACGTGTGGTGTGCATGATGCCTGTGACTATTATGTGAACTGTGTGATATGAGGTGTGTATACACGTGTATGTGGCATGGATGCATGTGACCAATGTGGAGTGTCAGTGGTGTGTTTATGTGTGGTAGGGTATATGTTCTGTGTGTGATATTCGAGTAGCTGAGTATGTGTGTGTATCCATGTGTACGTGGGGTGCGGCGGGCACGGTTGTTACATAGCATGTGTGTATGTGTGTGTGGTATGTATGTGGCAGTGTGGTGCATATGACTGGCATATTGAGTGTATGTGCGCAGTGTATGCGGGTGGAGTTGGGTGTGTGCAGTATGTGTGTTTGTGAACACATAAACAAGACTCGTGTTTGCCATGGACTCTGTGCCTTCGTGTGTTAATGCTCAACCTGGCCAGCAGGTGTTACTGGCCCTGAAGGTGACTGCAACTCTCCCACCCAATCAGCTTGCCTTCTTCCCTCTTGAGGACAAGTTGCTCCAAATAGATTTTCCATGCTAGGCTCCGCTGCTGAGAACCCACCCAGGGCAGGGTTCAGTGAAGAGAAAACAAACCATTTGCTCCCGGGGAGCACAGTTGGGAATTAGCGTTTCCCTGCAATAAGGCCAGAACCCAGCCTTGAACAGAGAAAAGGAGGGGACCTCCTCTTGCTATTTGCCAAACATTTTTCAGAGCAGAGGAAAATGCCTGTAATTGCCAAGGTTCAGGGAACAACAACAAAGCCTTTCAGTACAAATACTGTGTGGGAACATGTTTATGCCCAGGTCCACCTTCTCCATCACTTTATTCGTTTCCTGCTTTGCACTGACAAGGAGACTCATCATCATGGTTTTGAAATAACCAAATTCATCTTCAAGCTTTGAAAATCCTCACTGCCATAAGCAATCTTCCCTTTTATTTAACCTTGGCTTAAAAAGGGAAATGTAATTTGCATATGTCTGACTCTAGTGAAGGCTTCATTTACTAGGGGTTGAAGAGAGACTCAATTTGGTGGCAAAGGTATTTTCAAGAAAGGTATGAACCAAAATCTCAAAATATGGTTCCCCCCAATAACCTAACACTGAAACAGTTATAAACATGAAGCATCGTATCTTCAGCTTCAGCCCCAGGCGTCCCTCTCCCCCACCAAAAAAAAATCCTAAGGAAGTACATCCCTGACTTATAAAATTTCTCCATCCCTGCTGTTAATTTCACAGTCTGACCCACCTCAGAATAACGTGAATAAAAGGAAGGAAAAACTTAATCCAAGAAATTCATAATCCATTACTGCTGTAGCAGCCAAACCAGAATTTTTCGAAAAGGGGATTCCCATCTCTCCTACCCTACTTTTCTCCTTCCCCAACCCATAAATTCACTCTAATACTGTCCATGTTATATAAGGTCTTATAACAGAATTCTTTCAGTAACTAATATTTGAACAGAATCCTTCCACTGGCTTTTACTCTAGGGTGAACCATGTTGTAAGATTCTACTATATGAAATCATGCCATCTTAGCTAGTGAAAAATGAGCACAAGAAGTAATGTGTCATATTGAGGAGGCAAGGTAAATTACCCAAATGCCCTACTTTATGTTAGCCATATGATTTGAAGCTGAGAAGCCTTTACATTTTCTATAACATAAAATTCATCCCATTCCCTTGCCCTAAAGATGTTATTAACCTCTATTGTCTGCAGTGGGGCGGGAGGAGGTATATGTGCTGTGACCTGTCAAACGTGTATACACACAGCCTTCGGGATGTGTTGTCAGGATATAAGCTTTTTTTTTTTTTTTTTTTTTTT